TAGGGAAAGGGCAATAAATCTTTGTGTAATGAGTTTAGGGGCACGGAATAGGTGGAAAAAATGGAAGCAGGTAGCCTGGCAGATATTTGATAATTAATTTCCAAAATAGCTTACCCCCAAAATGTGAGATTATATTTACAGTCATTTATTACACCATTTTTTAGTGTGGCAGGAAAGGAAGTGGTACTGAATGAAAACAAAAATACTCCGGAGGGGTAGGAACAGATGAAAAATAAGGAGCGGCTGTTCTGACTACATTCCACTTGGGGCGTAGGCACTTACCCTCCTGCAGCAGCTACGCTCTCCAAAAAACTGCATCTTGCTCTCCTACCAGAGATCTGCACTCCTTCAACTGTTGGCCAGGTTTGCGTTTGTGATCATTCTGCAGTGATTACTTTTGCTAACTTGTTTGGTTGTGACAAACGTGGGTTTGGGAGCAATCTTATGAGCAATTCGGCTTGCAGATTTGGGTAATCCTCTGTAAAGGAGAAGTGGCAGCAGGAGGGGGGTTGGAGGTGGTAACCCTTTCCAGTTAGCCGTTGCAGCAGTAGGTGTGTTCACAAGTCATAGGAAGGAAGAGGACTGGAAGTTGCAAAGCGTGTAGGCTCGGGCTCTTCTGGTCCACGGTTTTGTTTCTGGCTTTACCACTGATTGCTGAGGTGCTTTGGAGCACCCCCATATCCCCAGAGTGAAGAAGCTGAGGCGTAAAGGATGCCTTCCTCCAGCTGCCCGATGTGCGGGAAGGTCTCTGCTGTGTCAAAGTAGTCTAAATTCTGCTTTCACTGTGAACCTCTTTCTGTAAAAAATATATCAGGCATAGTACAAAATACTACAAAAAAAGTCACTTTCTTAATTTTTAAACAGCTGACACACAGATCATTCCAGTGTTTCTGTGCTCCTATTTCATACTGTCCCTCAGTATGATGGTATTATTTTTGTTTATTAACTACTGGCAATAATAGTAAGCTATTTTTGGAAACTGTCAAAACTCTCTAATCTTCAACAATAGTTGTCTCATCAGTCTTATTTAGCCTGCATCTGTGTGATTCAAGGCTCAAGAGCAATGACAAGCTGCATATGAATTCTGTATTCATTAGTGATGGTGATCAAAATGCCTGTGTCCCTGCCATAGGGCTCAGGTGTGGAAGTCTGCAGGCTAATCCCACCAGCTGACATTCGGAGGTTTAATGACTCTGTAGGAAGGTGACCACTTGCTGGGAGGTTTGTCGGCTGAACTCAGACAGCAGACAATAGAGATCAAGCCAGACTATCAGAGTTAAGCTGGAGAGCCTGCCTGAGATACTTGAACCCCTGTTGGTGTCAAACACAGAGATTAAGTCAAGGGGGGGGGGGAGGGAATCTGATTCTGTGAACAAAAATAAGTACTTAGTTTTTATGTACTCTGTGTATCTGTTTATTTCATTACCCAGAGACTTAGTGGCATATCTTCACTGCCTTTTCTGACAGAGCTCAGGGCGATACAGATTTTGTGCTTTCCTCACATACCTGTGTTATTGTCACCTTCGGAGACTTGAATTTCCATGGGTAAATACCAGGTGTTAATGCAGATGATCATCCAGAAAATAAAGGCTTATCATGCTGTCTCTTATTTTTAGATTAGAATAAAATTATTCTATGGTAACCTGGTTCCTGCTTGACACTTCGGACAGTTAGTACAGTTCTCATCTTCTTCCACAGGACTGTGCCTTGGATTGATTTCCTTGGCGGAACTAAGGCTAAATGGGAAATCTGAGGCTGATATTAAATGTGCTAGCTAGACGTGCTCTGGAATGGCCAGGATTAGCGGAGAAGTGTTTGCGGTGTCCTTTTTGAATATATCAAAGCACAATTTCTGTGCAGAAATCAGGTGGGAAACCGCCAACAGTATCAGTCCGAGTTACCAGTGATACCCAGTAGCACCTTCTTCTGGTTTTCTGTTTACAGACTGTATCGAGGGAAATCAGTTTTACCTTGGTTTAAATTGGGCCTTGCTGTGTGACAAAGAGCAACAATTTCTTCACCTTTACAAAAGTAACAAACTTTGTACGTAATAACGTAGACAAGCTACTCGAAGCAGGGCTCCGCGTTAAGAGATGATTTCACTGCGCAGGGTAGACGTAGGACAGGTAATTATTTCTGATGCGCTTCTCGGGAGCAGGTGTTCCAGTCTAAATTGTTTCGGTTTGTGTATCTCCCATAACTGCAGAACACGGGCAAAACATACTGGAAAATATTTCACGTGGCACGAAGCCCAAGCGCGGCTGCGGTGGCGAGGGCTGTGAGGCAGGGGGCAATTTCAGGCTGAGCGGAGCAGAGTGGGTGGGAGTCAGCCTGGGCCATGAGGGGAGGCTCCCGTCCAGCCAGGAAGCTTTATGGGGTGGAAAAATTACCCAAGGGCCCAAGACTTCTTTTTCCAAATAAAATGTTGATCTTCATCCCCTTCCATCCTTTTTTCAGAGGTAAAGGAAGTCGAATGAAAAGAGATTTGCTGTATTTGAAGCCAGATGTGTTATTGCTGCTGGATATTCATTTTTTTGATACACAGTAATATATATATGGTAATTCTAATCGTCATCTTTTGCATGGTTTACGTTTCTGGCTACTTCCTGGTGGCTGAGGTTTGGTCTGTCACTGTAGGGTAATGCAGCTGTATGGAAAACTGAGGATAACGCACTGTCAGGGTAGAACTGGCAGCCTGGCAGAATTTACAGCTCTGTTACTGTTGAGTGAGTTCATTTTATTTTGAGAATCAGTTCCCTAGAAAAACATGAACTTCACCCAGACATAAGCAGTGATGGATTAAATGAATTTTCATATTCATTCTTAGTTCAAAGTATGGAAATAGTATTAAAAGAAACCCCACAGTTGCGAGAGGAGCTTGTAATTTAATTCTGTACCATTGGAATTACGTCTTGCACTAATCTTCATGTAAGGAATGACATATAGGAACTGATGTTATTGAATAGTAGTTCAGAAGCATATAAGTTTCTTGCCTTGGCAGGTAATTTGGCATAAATTGTTAATGTAAATCCAGGTTAGTGGGGAAGACGTTATTTTACTAAAAAAGATAAACTGCTGATTAATTCAGTATAGAACTCAATTACAAATTGAAAGTGTCTCTGCGGGACGCCGGTACCCTAAAGACAGCAGATGTTGAATAGATACTCCAGCATATTTCACACTGGTATGAAATATTAACATGGTTTATTGTACTTGTGTGGTGTACGATACCAGAAAGGGG